CTATGGATTAAAAAATTGTCTAAAAGAATGCAAAGTGCAGATACTGTTATGTTACATCTTAACTAGTAGATTTCTGTCTGATAGAAAAGAATATCTCCAAAGGTTATTGTTTTATGGTCAGGTAGGACATTAAACAGTTTGTTTCTTATTATCAGCAAAATTATTTCAACATCGTTTGATTGATTGATTATTTACATCTCTGTTCCTCATGTGTTACTTTGAACCAGTTTTAGAGTTATGGTTCCTTAATAATTAATAAGTTGAATGAAATATTTAACATGTGCTTATCTTGAATTTCAAAATAAGTCCAATTTTTAATCTTCAGAGAATTCTACTGTAACAAAACAATTGACTATGGATATAGACAACTATTATAACAGAATTTATTAACACCCAAAATTGCCTACAACTCAAATGGTGCCATATGCTCTAAAATGTAAACCATAGTTATTTTAGAATCAGGAAACATAGCAATTATTTTCATGATGCTTCTTGTGGTAGGCAGAACAAAGGCCTCTGGTGATGTCCACAACCTAATCCTCAGATTTTGTGAATGTGCTACCTTAGGTGGCAAAGGGGAATTAAAATTGCAGAGAGAATTAATACTGTTAATTAACTGACTTTTAAATAAGAATGTTATCGTGGATTATCCAGGTGGGTCTAATGTAATCACAGGGGTCTTTAAGGGTCAAAGAGAAAAGCAGAAGAGAAGGTCAGAGCAGTGTGATATGAGAAGGACCTGACCAGCGTTGCAGCATTTGAAGATGGAAGATGAGGTCATAAGCTAAGGATTGTAGGTAGGTCCTAGGAGATGCAGGAGGCAAAGAAATAGATTCCTGGGGCTGGGCACAGTGGCTCATTGGCTCATGCCTGTAATCCCAGCACTTTGGGAGGCGGAGGTGGGTGGATCATCTGAGGTCAGGTTTCGAGACCAGCCTGACCAATACGGTGAAACCCCATCTCTGCTAAAATTACAAAAAATAGCCAGTCATGGTGGTGTGCATCTCTAGTCCCAGCTACTCAGGAGGCTGAGGCAGGAGAAGTGCTTGAACCCGGGAGGCAGAGGTTACAGTCAGCTGAGAATGCACCATTGCATTCCAGGGTGGGCAACAACAGAGTAAGACTCCATCTAAAAAAAAAAAAAAAAGAAGAAGAAGAAATGGATTCTCCTTCAGGGAGGCACACAGCTCTGTGTAGTACCAGTGTCATGCTTCCAAATGTGCAATTGTAATGAAATAACTTTGTGTTGTTTTAATCCATTACATTTGTGGTAACTTACTAGAGCAGCTGTAGAAAACTAATAAACTTCTCTGTGTGTTGATAATGACAGGAATATGTTCTGAGAGATGCATTCTTAGATGATTGTATCATTGTGCAAACGTCATGGAATGCACTTTCAGAAACCAAATGATACAGCCTAACATGTACCTGTACTGAATACTGCAGGCAACTGTAACACAATGGTAAGTATTTGTGCATCTAAACCAGAAAAATACAGTAAAAAGAATGTGTTATAATTTTTGGGACTTCCCTCATATAAATGGTCTGTCCTGTTGCTCTGGTGTTGATGAAATATCATTATGTGGCATGAGACTGTATTTTTTTAACTGGTACTTGATTTAAAGCTAGGAGGAGAGTAAACTATATAATCCCAAGCACTGAAGGAGAGAGCTGGTAGGGAGAAGGGAAACAGTAGAAAGACTTTGGATCTCTCTCTGTTCTGCCAGTTATTAATAAAGAGATGAAAGATCTTGTTTTCTTTGGGCCTCAAGCTCTTTGCAGCTTTTAAATCTGTGACATTTCAGGGTCTCAAAAAATCTAGTCATTATGGAAAATACACAGTTCTCTTCCACCCCCTGCCACCATTGCCAACACACCAGTTGCCTCCATTAATCTGGCCTATTATACTCTTTGAAGGGCACATCCATTTATTCAACAAATATTTGCTGTATAAATACTGCGTGCCAGATACATCTGAAGGTGCTGGAACTATACCAGTGAATAATATAGACCCAGAGATCTTTCACAATGGGGAGACACAAATACACCAAGAACAAGTAAGAAAATAAATGTGGTAAATTCAGATAGTGATAAGTGATATGAGGAATTTTCAAACAAGGGGATGTGATGAATAAAAACTGATGGTAGTGTGTGAGGATGGAGTTGGAGGATATAGAAGATGGGAGTTTTATGAAAAAGGTATTTGAACTCAGACTTACATGTTAAGGGGGAACCTATAATGTGATGATTTCAGGTAAGAACTTTCCAGGAAAAGGCATCAAAACATCCCTAAGATAAAAATGATCTTGGTGTGTCTAGAAAGGAAGATAATCCCAGGGTGCCCAGGACATTGTGGTTTGGATGAGGGTGATAGAAGATGCAGGTAGAAAGGTGTACAGACACCAGGGTAGGCAGTGGGCATGTACCAGTGTGGTGAAGATCATCCTTTCTCAAGTGGCAATATAGGTCTACTCCAGTGAATACATTTTCTCATCTGACCTAACAACTTTGTTAGGCATCTACCTGCAGGAATTTTCTTGCCACTGAGTGATGGAGATATCCACTGGAAAATGTTGGATGAATATTATTTTTATTCTAATGAGTACTGAGAAACAACACACCTTGTGATGCTCTCTGTACATGGATCTAAAGTGTATATAATGCATAGTGATAAAGTCCAATAAGAAAGAAATAGAGTAATAGTGCAGTCAGAAGGAAGGATGGAGGTAGGTTTTAATAAATCAAAACAAAAGTAGCAATACCTAAGCAGAGAACAGAATTAGGTTGGGCAGGCTGGCTTGCACCTATAATCCCAGCACTTTGGGAGGCTGACGCGGGTGAATTGCTTGAGCTCAGTAGTTTGAGACCAGACTGGGCAACATGGCAAAACTCTGTTTCTATTTAAAAAATACAAAAAATTAGCTGGGCATGGAGGCGTGTTCCTGTAGTCCCAGCTACTTGGGAGGCTGAGGTGGGAGGATGTTGAGCCTGGGAGGCAGTGGTTGCAGTGAGCCTAGACTATGCCACTGAACTCCAGGCTGAGAACAGAGCCAGACCCTAAGAAAACAAATAAACAAAGAAACAACAACAAAAAAAAAAGGAAAAGAAAATAAAATACAGAATTACCACCTGCCTATATCACCAGGTTGCAAACATTGCTCCCTGCAGCCTAAAATACTAAACACCCTCAAAAACAGAGGAATAGAAAGATAAACATTCAGTTCTTTTATGCCTGCTGCTGCTGTCCTTTGGGCCTTTGCTGATTGAATTGAGGTTCTAGGCATCGTGTTTACCTTCTGGGCCTCATGACTAAGAAATTATGATTCTCCTTTTTTTTCCCATAATAGCATTATCTTGCAATAATGGTACCTCTTTGAAGGCAACATATAAGTAGGCTGTCAGATTTGTAAGTACAAGCTACTTAGGCCAGCTATGTGCCAGTAAATTTAGAGAGCATTAGAAATTTTCAGTGAGAGCCTACCCTATATCTGACCCTAGACTTAGCTTTCTAAAGTAATGCTGATCACATCTAAATTGGGTGTTTGAAATGGGGGTCCTGTCAGTTGCAGTAATGGTGAGTCATCTACCTTCACCCACCATTTGAATGACCACCTGCTGTTTTATCTTTTTGTCTGAATAAATTCATTGTTAAATTACAGCAACAAAACAGATTATCCTCACCCCTGCTCTTTGCTTTGCAGATTTGGTACATCCTTTCTTAAGAGAAATAAAAGTTTGACCTAATCTAACTCAACCATGTCTCCCTACCTCCCACAGATGATTCTCTGTTTGAATTGAGAATGTAAAGTCAGACTGCTGCTTTCCTTTGGGTGGTCATGCAGGAAGCAGAGAATTGGAAATGAATGATATTTTCATGACCCGGAAATAATGGGAGGCAGATGCCTATTTTATATCATGCATTCATGTCCCCAAAGGCATTCTTAAGGAGTCTCTGTTAAATTCATTTGCTTTCTGCTAAAGCTTTGTTTTATAAGGCATCAAGGGGGTTGAAAAATACAAGCAGGATTCAAAGAAAGCAAAGCAAATGCATGCAGTGTTTGCATTATTTACCAATTAGAATCTGGCAATCAGTTCTAGTTTGCATATATTTGAATTAAGAGAAATTGATTTGTACCTCTCTAATAAGAATATTAATTCAAGTTTTACTGAAGGCCTAGAATGTACACATTTCAGTGCTTGGCACCATGAAGGGCTCGAAGAGGAATAAGAGGTTGTTGTGTGTTGAGACAGCAAGACACACAAACAGAGAATTATTAATAGCTATGAAAAGGTGCAAGCAAATATCTTTGTGGACAATTATCTTTGACAGTCTTACTTGAAGAATGAGATAAGAAAAATATCCTAGAGTACAAAATATCCCTATAGTGGAAAATTCTCATAGCCTGTGGCCTCTGTATACAGAAGCCATATATATTTGAACTATGATAAAGTCCATTCAGTTCACACATTTGGCTTGGCAAGATAACATGAATCAATTTCTTTGTAATGAAAAACATATTCATTTTATTTCTAATTGAGCTGAGAATAAATCTGTAGTCTGTTTGTATCTTAGTACGGGTGCATTCATTTGATAGAAATGTATTGAGTGCCTACTTTATGCCAAATCCTGTGCCTGTGGCTGAAGAACCTGTTCGGGTTGCATCCTGTGTAGGATCTGGGCAGGGCCATTACACCAGGAGATATAATGGGGAGAGTGATGCACCAGCCAAGCATGTTATCTTTACTCTTTATTGCACTTTCTGTTTCCAATGCTTGTCTCTTTTTTCATGAATAAGCTAAACAAAGAAACAAGGTATAAAACACCTCCAAACATAAGCACCATTCCATTTCAAAATCTTACCACTCTGGAAGAAGAAGAAAAAGAAAGAGAGCTTTTAACTTTCTGTCACTTCTCCCACAAGTCAACTGACAGTCTTTGTGGCTGGGCGGGGTTTACTCGTTGTGGATTGTTGGTTGATGTTTGTGTTTCCATGGTAACCCTGAGAGCAGTCCAGGGGGAATAAAACAAGTATGTAGGATATTATACTTCAGACTTTCAACCAGAAGTACCTTCTTTTGAACCCAAGAGGCTCACTCCGATTAAGAGTCTGTCTACATTTTGCCAGACCCTGCACTGGGTTTTGCTGGGTAAAGACACATCTTTGCTTCCAAAAGCCTATTGGTTTCACAATGACAGGAACATGCGATGCTCCCGAGGTTCTAATGCTCTTATTCCCATTCCACACAGGTCTTCAGCATACCAGTTATGCTGGGAAGCACAGCAAGCTGTTCTCGGCAAAGAAGAACTTGCCACAAATTATTTTACTGGTAGCCGAAAGGCAAGCCTGGGGAGACTCTGAGAGGTAACTTCTACAGAGCACTGATAGGTTTGCAAAGCAGTTTAAAATAAACAGCAGCGGGGACTGAGTGTAGGACATCGGCCCTCGCTCGTTTTCTTGGCTAAGGGCCTTAGAAGACAGAAGGGATGAGAGGCCTTGAGCAAATAAGCGGGGAGGCCTATGAACCCACCAGTGTACTATGAGGTAAAAGATAAAATGGTGATCTAGCTAAAACAAAATTTAGTTTTGCCAAGAATTGGTCTGCTTCCAAGGTGCCTGATGGTGCCTCCTTGACCTTGGTGGCTTGAAGTTGGTGCGATCCTTGATCCCCGTATCTGATTTCTCCCATCACTGCATGCAGAAGAGCCCAAGTGAAGAAAGGAACACGATGCCTTCCCCAGGGCTTTTGGAGGTACCTGCTCAGAAGATTATCTGAGAATACACGCTGCATTTTCTTGATCTGAAAACACAGTCAGTGTTCTTATTTGCTGGTTTGAAACAAATATTGTCATCTTATTGAGAGATTTTTGCCAGATTCATCTGAACTATAATATTAATAATTGAAGTATTTTCTCAATTGCTAAATTTGATTTTGGGTTCTACAGTGAACAAATTAATCACATAATTTTTATGTCCACTTCATCTATGTCGATTAAAATATTTAATAAAAATAATAGTGGCTACTGCCTACTGGGCTCTGGTTGTTGGGCACTGAATTGAAGCACTTCACATGCAGTTATCTCAGTGATACTCACCAGAATCCTATAAGGTTGAACTTAGAAGCTCTGGGACACATGCTTAAAAACAGGCTTTTTCTAGTATATATTGTGGAAACATAATAAAATTAAAAAGATATACATTGTCTAATCAGAATTTAAGTACCACTGTATTTCCTATGTAATATATACAAATTAGTCATCTGTCTAGGTGTTTTCTTTTCCGATGCACTTAGAAATTAGATGAGGGACATATTACAGAAATCAGATGAGGGATGTGTTTACAGGTGATTTAGTTCATTTTGCTATTGTAAAGCTTAACTAACAAACATCTATATTAACACAATTTAAAGATAAAAGCAAAAGACCAATACATATACAGATACTGTGATAGCAAAATCGTGTAAATCATATAAAAGTCCTGAAGAGTCGAAAACCTTAAAAATTACTACCATAATATGCATATTTTTTTCAGAATAACAATAATCACTTTGATTTTTAAATGTTAACTAAAATTAAAACTTTTGTCTTATATTACATTTGGAGAGTCTTATGTACTAATCATAAAACAAGTGCTGAAGTAAGAGTAATGAGAATCTAAACATCTCCATTTTCTTTTGAAAATTGCAGTGTTATAATATTTAGCTTTAACCTCAAGCTAATCATATTCTAAAAACAGAATATGATATAATCAATGCTAAATCCTCAAGTGCTTTTTTTGAATATCTTAATTTTCTTAAGATGAAATTTCAGTGGATTCCTAAGAGTAGAAAACCCACAACATATTTTCATGTAACTCGAGATATTTGATGAACATATACAAATATATTTTTAAATTTGAATTATATTCAAATTAATAAAAGTACTATAATAGTTTGCTAACTATCTTGTGTTCAGTACAGTTACATAATTTCTGGATCAAGAGACTTTATGATCCTATGATCATGTGACTACTTTTCTATGTTCTATTTCTGCCAACTTATTGGTGGCTATTACATTTAAATCCTTTTTTAATAAGCCCCTGCAGACTAGGATATAATAACTGGAAATGAGTAATCCAAAAGGATTTTCAGGTGGCATCTAAAAAAAAAACCTGTTTGAAGTTTAGTTACTATGCATTTTAATGTTTTACTCGCTTAGAAATGGAAAAGTTGAAAAGTTGTGATAGGTAATATACTAAGCTGTTTTAGAGATGAAAGAGTAGCCATGTTGATGATCAGAGTTTTCATCTGTGAAGCTTTTCTAGGGCATTAGTCATGGAAACACCACAATCTTCTATAATTTACCTTGCCTAGATACAAATCCTGCTAATCAGATTACTTTTTTGCTTTTTCATGAGCTTAGGCTGTCTCAAGACTTTCACCCTAAACTGTATTATCAAAAAAAAACAACTCTATGTTTAGTGGAGCAAATACCAACAGAATCTGACACACTCTTCTACTGAGAACACATAGGACTTCAGTTAACATCCATGGATGAGTTTATCTTATGCACTAATCCAGTGACTGATAGGCTGAAACATTCAATAAAAATTTCTTTACATCAGTGGAAACACAATTAATCCACACTTTTGCTTAATTACATTTTAAGTTAAAAAATTTTTTTTGATATGCAAAGAATGTTTCCTCCTGTGGAAACAAGTTTAGAGTGTTGTACAATGTCAAGATCTATTCTGGTGACTTGTCCTTAAAGAACAAAAATACTACTCTGGAGTTAGAAGTTACCAAATAAATACCTGAGGTAACAATAGGTCAATTTTGTAAAATTTTTTAAAATTTATTATTTATTTATTTTTTGTTTATTTATTTATTTATTTTTATTTTTATTTTTTTGAGATGGAGTTTTGCTCTTGTTACCCTGGCTGGAGTGCAATGGCGCAATCTCGGCTCACTGCAACCTCCGTCTCCTGGGTTCAGGCAATTCTCCTGCCTCAGCCTCCTGAGTAGCTGGGATTACAGGCACGCGCCACCATGCCCAGCTAATTTTTTGTATTTTTAGTAGAGATGGGGTTTCACCATATTGACCAGGATGGTCTTGATCTCTTGACCTCGTGCTCCACCCGCCTCAGCCTCCCAAAGTGCTGGGATTACAGGCGTGAGCCACTGTGCCTGGCCAAAATTTTAAAAAAAGAAAACAAAAAGCTCACAGCTCTAAAAGAAAAATTAGAGATTTGGAGAAAAACCCCTATTTCATCAAAAATTACCATATTGTTTAATTTTACTTATGTAGATACAAGTCTGTTGTCTCTCTTATGGTTAATAGAAAGATATGAAAGTGTATTTCTGGCATGAATTCAATTTAAAAAGTGTTAATATTAATGCTTTGATAAAAATGTCTCTACTATAATTGTAATTTTAAAATAATGACTCCAATAGAAGTTCTATATTATCTGAAACAAATTATAATATCTACCCAGGAAATTTGTTTTGTCTCTGTGTTGCTATGGAAATCTTTTTTTAAGTAATAAAGAATGATTGGATTAAGTTTCTAATGATAACAAAATAGCTATAGCTACATCATTCAAATGTAGAAATTCTATAGAAATATACCTTATGAAAAATATGCCTCTATCTAAAAGATCCTGCTTCATGAGCTACAATTATACAAGTCCTAGTCAATATTCGTGTAAGATGGCATCCTATGTTGAGTGGTGATGGGAGGGTGTTCTATGATCTTTCATCCCTTTTCTTCATATATTTGGGTACCCTGGATGTATCAGATCTCTACCTGTCTTCTGCAGCATAGCAGCATGTTTGTTGATTAAATAGCAGTGCCCTGGGCAGGAGAAGAAAGTCCTGAGACAGAACACCCAGGGCAGCATACTTATCGCCCCTCCCTGTCTCACAACATTCATCCACATCCAACTGCCCAAGAAAAAATGTACCACGGGTTCATCTGGAGAGGTGAGTGCTTATGTTTCACAGAAGAAATAAATACACTTCCCTCACTCTCGTGTACAGTGAAGTGGACCTTCCAATAAGGGTTTTAAACATCTCTTTTTGAAGGAAATCCTTAACAACTAGAATGTTTAACCTTTAAGAGACTGCACAGGGCAGAAAATTACTTTCTAGAAATGCTCTTGTCTAGGTCATTGGAGCATCAGTGAACTTCTGCTGGTGTCAGGAATGTGAGATGGTGGGTAGACATGGCCGAGAACTCTCATAATCATAGGAGGAGAGATATTAAGTGTGTGCTTCAGTAAGCAAACATATTAGACAGACATATCTTTTTGGGTCAGATATCTTTCAATGACATGCTCTACTCATAAAAAATAAATAAATAAATAGTTGCCCTTTTATAGGAAAATAGTCCACAACCTCCAACAGAAAGGTGAGGGCAATTCACTTGACCTCAACAAATTTCACCGCTCACTGAGGACTAACAGCTGTCCTCCACCACCTGTGTGTATCTCTCATTGACTTCCATGGGTGAGATGGGAGTGCTGACCTTTATTATTACTGCTGCATATATTTATTCTTGAATAACAGATTTTTTGCATGAGTCACACACAGTTTCTTCTCTTCTTCCCCACAGTAACACCAGAATTATTCATTTGCATCTCTGTTGCCATGGAAAAATGAACATTCTGAAAAGCAGTCAGGATTATGAGTTTAAGGCATAAACCTAATCGTAAGGGACAGAGAAAACTCAGGTTGAAAATATATACACAGCACAGCTAATATTGCAGAAAAATGACAACTTAAAAATAACAAGAAAAAAGAAAATAGAATTCCATTGAATTTCTGACCTTTTGGGTAAAGTACTGTGAGTTTCAAAACTATTTTTCAGGGTTTTTATTTTATTTTTCTGGTAGAAAAACACCCTCACGCTTAGGAATAAAGTAGACACGCTATTTTCACCACCTGGTGCATGGCTGGCAGACACAAAGGCCACTGCGTGCCAAATAGCAGATAATTGGATCCTATCTACACTGGGAACCTGCTAGATCATTAGCAGACTTTTCATTTGGAAATAGACATGGCTATTTAAGAGGAGCAAGGAACAGGAATAAAATACCAACTCTTCTGTGTTCAGCTTAGTCCGACAGGAGGGTTTGTATTTGGATCCAGGTAATTTTATTCCCAGTTACTCAAGTGCTATAGTACTATGTACAGAAAACACATCTCAAGGGAGAGAGATAAGATAAAAGACATAAAGACTTAGAGAGACAGGGACATGCTGAGACAGAAAGAAGCGAATTGAGAGCATCAAAGGAGAGAAGAAAGAAGGAGGAACAAATGGGAAGAGGGAAAGCATAGGAAAAAGAAAGAATGATTAAAGATTAAGAGGCACAGAGATAAATGAATG